TTTTCTCAAAATAAATTATAAAAAAAATAGAAAAACATCGCGTGTGTTTTTCTCTTTCTGGATAAATTTATGTAAATATTATGTACATCTTACGAAAATGATAGTCCTTAATTTTGCAAAACGTCCCGACCACATCCAAAAGGGGTGTTTTTTTAGCCCCTTTCCTGAAACTTTGTTTAAAAAAGTGATAGAAAGTGAAAGTGATAATAAAGATATCCGATGCTTCTTGTGTGTAATTTCTTACAAAAACAATATCATATCTAATATATAAAAAATAATTCATCAGATTGCGGTAAAACTTTGTCAACTTATTGTTTGCACTTGCGCGAGGGTTAGGTATAGGCATAATACAATTAACTTACATTAGCATTATTCTTTATCTACTTATTATCTATTTAGCATTAGGTGACGCGCGTATCGCGTCGATAAATTTATTTGAAAGTTATATATCATTCAACTTAAAGTAAACACTACAACCCTTCCAAATTTAAGACGATATTTACACAATTATTTCTTCTCCGGCTTCAACGCACCAGTAAAGAATAAAAAATAATTTAACATAATGAAGTTTTAACGATTGTTTTTGTTATGTATACCTAATATAGGTACTAAACAAATAAGTGGTAAAATTAGAAATTTTGTACAACCGACTTCAATACGACCGAATCAATATATTCTGTCAAATAAATACACATTATTAAAGATAACTCTAAAACTACTAGTTAGATCTTTATTGAATTTGTATGGGACCTCACGAGAAGCACCAGCTTTCAGATAAAAAGCATCATCAAAATCGGTTCACCCAGAGAAAAGTTATGACGTAACACACATAAAAAACATACAGTCGAATTGAATCCGCCTCCTTTTAGAAGTCCGTAAAAAATGAAGATTTTATTTAAAATAGTAAGTAGACATTTTTTTTGCAATTTTATTTTAATTGATTATAATTAGGTACCTAACACATTAAAGTTATTGTTTCTCAAGAAAATATTTTTTTTAATTAAAATTTCTTAATTCAATAACAACCTGTATACGTAGCTGTGCTGAAATAGCGTCCGTTGAAAAAAAAACAACACCAAAGATAGTCCCACGAACGCGGCGTCTAAGATATCGGAAACCGATCCTCTTGTCACAATCCATCGATCTTAGCGAACCAACCGTAAAATATACCTCAAAATCGACGCCGTGGCATCTGTACCCAAGCGTCCGGCGACCGATTAAGACGTTTATTTTATTCATTAGCGCGTAGAGTTGCGAAAAAAACGATTATTTAGTGATGTGAAACCAGTGTGAGATCGAACTTTGTGTTTTCCGAATTGCAACCAAACTGTGATGGTTTTTTTACATAACCGAGTATAGTATTTTTTTAGAAGCCGTTTAGAAGCCGGTGAGATACATAAACATTGTAATATATATTTTAAGTATCGTTTTGTAATCGGTTTGTTAGTATATACCGGGAATTTTTAAATTGCGCATTCTGGTAAGAACCTTTACTGGACACTGTTGTCTTAAAAAGCGTATGTCCATCCTGGGACTAAGCAACTCAAGGATGTTTCGGTTCTGTTCCATAAAGGAAGAATACGCGTCTGCACATCCTAACTGATTGCGGACCCTCAATGCACAAACGTAACACTCATCTGGGAAACTATGTACTCCGCCCAGAAGAAGTGAAATTGCTCACGGCTATGCAACTCCTTCTATTCATTGAAGACATAGGGCTCAGCCGTGAACTATAGCCATAGCAGCGATCACAATAGATCTTTTAGGTCGCAGTGATACTGGTCTCTTTTCCTAGATCTGCGTAGCTGCTCGCACATATTAAAAATAGTACCGGGAAAAGACCATGCTCTCATACTACACCAGCGTAAAATAAACCTTTCTGCCCTTCTCAGGTTCAGTCAGTTCAGTCATTCCCACCATCAAACATCACTGCCACTGCTGTCTGACGGCAGATATAGCCATGAGAGTGACACCCACCGGTCGGATTCCTAAGTAGAACAGAAGTCCCACTAGCTATTGATATAATGTGAAATACTATTTAATATTTCTTATAATGATTGTCAGACTACATGCCGGGGCTTTGCGTGGGTGCGATTTACATCTCATAATAAGTAGCCACTGCATAAGATGTCTGCAAGCCTGTACCAAAGTTCAAGTAAAATAGGCTTCAAGAACACGTTGCCACCTTCGTGGACTATAATGGAGTAGGTATCTCATCCGCAAACGATTTCGAACAAAAAAGGTTTTATATGCGTTGTCACTCCTGGTCTTTTTTCATAGAATAAGGGTGACAAACGAGCACACCGTTCACCTGATGGTAAATGGAGTTCTGTAGCCCATAAACATTTATCCTTGATTAAGAATCAAAACACAGATGCGTTATCATCCCTGAGGACTAAGATGGAATGCCTCGATTCCAGCACAAAAGGGTCTCCACATCTCTACACTCATTATACGAATCACAGCAGTATTAAGCTGCTATTTTACGCTGGTATTCTGCGAGAGCGTGGTCCTGCCCCGGTCGAGCCAACCTACTCTGTACCACGTATAAGGTCTAAGATAGATTACCTCTCAGCCTGTAATTATACTGGCTCTCAATATCCATCAAAATGGAACACAGCAGTGCAGACGCTGCTCTTTGATGGCAGAAATCAGTCAGACTCCTAAGAGGAGAAGAACTTCTACCACCTATTGTAATATAATCTAAATTAATATTTAAAATTTCTTATAATGAATGTCGGACGACTCGCCAGGTTTCGTGTATAGATCCTAGTACAATTTCAGGCTGTGAGATAAACCATCTGTAGCCGTTTTGTTTGAAGATGGCTCAAGGTGTCCATGGCCTGCAGTAACCACTTACCATCAGGTCGACGGTAAGTTCGTTCGTCACTGAAAAAAAATGTTTAAAGTTCAGTATTTGTACATTTCGATACTTTAAATTTGAAAATCCAAAACGAGTAACGTTTCACACTAAAACTTTCAAGCTCTAAGGCCCGCCACATAAACGGAATTCCGTATTCCGAATTCTCTGAAGTTACACTTATAAAGCCCCAATAACTTAAATTGAAAATCTATCGGCTGTGATGATTATAAAAGTCGTTAGATTTATATTGTCGCGTTAAATGACTGAAATAATAGTTTTGTCATCATTTTCATGCACTCTCCGATTCACTAGATACCGTTACCATTTCCGGTAACGCTTATTTATCCTCCGATCCACAATTTAACTAATAGAAATTAAAGCTACAGCTTATATAGGTACGTCCCAATGCTGGGCACAGGCCTCCTCTCATTTCTGAAAAAGTTTTAGGGCGAGGAAATCCGCCGCTCTGCCCCAATGCGTGTTTGCGAACTTCACATGTCTTCGAAATATATTTTTTTCTTATTTCTCAGACATGCAGGTTTCCCTACGATGCTTTCCTTTACCGCCTGCACATGGTAAATCAGCACTTAAAATTGCAGTTAACATTGGTGCTGGCGGGAATTGAACCTGCATTGTTCGCGTACTGTGAAATTTACAGCAAGCGTTACCGGTCTGAGCTACCACGACTCCCATAGAAAGAAAGCTCGCATAGAAATTTATTAAACAATAACATTATTTCTAATATTTAATTATTAAAAAGATGTATATCTAAAGACTTTTAAACATTTTTAGTTCTAAAAAAGCTAATCTTATCTGCGTCTATTTTAAATTTTAAACTAGAACCGTTATACAAAAAAGCGCTAATCGTCCAAAACAATTAAAGAAATCTTACAACACCGAATAAAATAACGTTATGTTTTTCTACTTCCTCATTAAAAACGCACCTAACCATTAAAAGCATCTATTCTCGTGAGAAATAGGGACTTATGGACCCACCTGCCTCTACCGAACCGGAAAAGCAGTGCTCAAACACCGGAAAATCGTCCAAAAACCGGCAAAATTAATCCAAACGAATCGGTTTTACAGCGAGCAAAAGCCGCCATGATTTTATGCTGCTTTCACGGTGTACGCTCAATTTTTTCTTAGAAACCGTCAATGCATCGCAATTACTTGCCTATCTCAAATAAGAGGTTGTTTGCAAAGACAGCCACTACATAATTTATTATGATTTATTGCGCGAAATTTCTAATCGAAATCAAAATTATAGAAACAGGGCAAATCTTATCGTAATGAATCTTTGAAGATTAATCAATGTTTTAGGATAAAATATCTATAGGAATAGTTCTAATTTGTATAGGTAGGTATCTCTATAGTGCATAGTAGGTAGAGCATAACATATATTGGTTAATATGCGAAAAAAAGACACAAGTAAAAATTATTATCTACAATTTTTTTTGATTTGGAAAGCCAAGTTATAAAATCTAGATAGGGTAAACTAGCGTAAATATGTGACTCACTTAATTCTGTGATAATATGTTTTGATGCTTCCACTGCTTTATAGGAGCAAAATTTACTACTTTAAATTCAACTTTGTGATAGAACGATAAGGCTTCTTTTTGTGTATAAAATTTTGTTCAATACTTGTTAGACAAATAATAACAGTCACGTGATTTGTCATTTCACCCGCCATTTTTGCTTCCCAGCGGCAACGTACGTGTTGAGTTGTGATAATTAATACATTTTAAATGAAAAACGTAGGTGTAACTTTATGAAATTTGGTGAATCAGTTGTTGAAAACATATAATTGCTGCCACTGTGAATGGTTTTGATCAATTCTGATTAATATTTGAATAATACCTTATCTACTGGATTCAAAAATTAACGATTTTCGAGATTTAAGCGCGAAACAGTGTCACCGAATTAACGAAGGTAAGTGTGATGTTTTTCTTATTCTTATATTAATAGTTTTAGTTATTGTGACTAATATAGTAAAATATATTTTAAAAAATATTTTTAATTGTGATATATGAATAGCGGCCGTTTTCTAGCTTTTTTAAAATTTTTGTTAATTTTTATGACGTTTTGTTAGTACTTTTTATCACGAAATTAAGTGAGTTGTTATGTTATTTCAGACACCATGGAGGAAAATAAGAATTCGAAGAAAAAAAACAGAAAATATAATGAGATAATGTTAAAATCAGCCATTGAAAGTGTTTTACAGTCAAAATTAACTTTGTACATGGCATCAAAGGAATTCAACGTGTCGTGGAGTACATTAAAGGCCAATGTTGAACGAGTTAAAGAAGAACGCAAGCAGGGAATAACACAGATTAGGATGCTCAAAGTAGGTAGACCATTTTCTTTGTCAGCCAATTTAGAACAAAGCTTACTGTCATACATTATACAAATGCAAGAGCTTGGATTTGGCCTTACTGTAAACCAGATAAGACAAATAGCCTTTTCACTTGCTGAGACAGCTGAATGTAAGCATTACTTCAACAAAAGCAAAAGATGTGCTGGATGGAATTGGTGGGTTAGTTTTAAAGGTCGTTACGGTTTAAGTTTAAGGATTCCGGAAAATCTTTCATCCGGTCGTGCTATTTGCTCAAATCCCACAATATTAGCTGATTTTTATGAAAAATTAGAGGCAACTTTAGTTAATCATAACTTGTTGGATTGCCCAGATAGAATATGGAACTGTGACGAAACGGGTCTTATGTACGTCAACAAACCTACTAAAATTGTCACCAAAATAGGAAAAAAATACGTATATAATCGAACATATGCTGAGAAAGGCACTACAACTACAGTGCTAGCTTGCATTAATGCAGCTGGGCATTTCATTCCCCCTTTGGTGATATTTAAAGGGGTAAGAAATATCCCTGGACTATCGAATGGGTCTCTGCCAAATAGTTTAACGCGACTGTCGCCAAAGGGCTGGATAAATGCAGATTTATTCTATGAGTGGTTGAAATTTTTCGACCGAAACATTCCTCCTACAAGGCCGGTTATGTTGATTATGGATTCACATGCGAGTCATATAGCTCCAAAAATTCTTGATTATGCTAAATCCCACCAGATAATATTATTTACTATGCCTGCTCACACAAGCCACATTTTGCAACCACTGGATGTTGGAGTTTTTCGACCACTTAAAGCGGCATGGAGAGCAGAGTTGCAAAATTATAAAGTAAACAATCCCACCTCAGTACCTACAAGATTTGATTTTCACAAATTCCTGACACCGGTTTATGAACAATGTTTTACGCCTACCAATATATGAGCAGGATTTAGAAAAGCTGGAATATATCCAATAAATAAAAATGCTGTATGTTCAGAAGCTATTGCACCTTCAATATTATCAGATCAACCTGTTCCTACATCACAGTTCTCTATGGAAGAAATAATTATCGGTCAAGACTACGATGTTGATATTCCTCAAGCCGAAATAATAAAAACTAATTATGATCCCCTTAGTGAAGGAGCAATCAACGAGAAAGACGCTAGCAAACCTTCAATCCCAAGCATTAGTTCTATTGCCGAGGCACAAATTGAAAATAGTGCTCCTTCTGAGACTTTGCAAATGGAATGCGAGTTAGAACAAGTTCCGAACTCAATGTATAATATAAATACTGTAACAAATAATATAACCATTGACGATATACCGAGACCTATTCTTCAAAATAAAAATAAAATTGAGATACACGACATATTAATATTACCAAAATGGAAACCTAATATAAAAACACGACAAAAGAGAAATGTTCCCAAAGCTCAGTGCTCAACACCGGTCGCCACAACATCATCTACAAACGTATCTTTAAGACATGTCCGCCGAACAACTTTTAAAAAAGAAGATCAAAAAGTGAAAGATCGGCGAACACCACAACCAAACTTAAGAAAACAAGTAAAAGAAAACGTCAAACAAACTTCTCAACCATTAAATAGATTAAAATCTTCAATCTCGGATGATGAATGGGTTTGCCGATCTTGCAATGGGCTGTACTCACAAGATGTAAAGTTACAAAATGGAGCCGACTGGATTACATGTTCTTTCTGTACTAATCCTTATCATATCCATTGCCAAAGTCAAATTATAGGTGATAACCAAGAAGTTTTTATGTGTGATAGTTGCAGCATTGATGAATCTAGTGGTGAAGAGTAAAATAACATGAATAATAATAATAAGAGTATCTTAAAATATTTAAGAAATTCATTGAATTCTTACATAAACTTTTTATTATTAATAATTAAAAACGTACAAATTTATTCCTTGTTTCTTAGCTTTTAGTTGATTAGTAAAATAATTTTTAATTGGAATAAATTTCGCGAATTTTGTGAAGATTAAAAATAAATACTCACCTAATTCTGTTATATCACAATTAGAGTAGTACCATCACCGAATTAAAGTGATTGTCACCGAATTACACAAATCATCAAGCTATGCATAAAGTTCATTTACTTTAGGTTTATCATTTGAAAAATATGATTACTATTGCTCATATGGTAAACAAAAGTGTGGTTGATTCTCTTATATAAAATAAAACATTTTTATTAAGTTTCACCCGATTTTTTTTGCAATATTCTGTTTTATCACAGAATAAGATGAGTACACCCTAATAGATATGAATAATTATATACTTACAATACCTACGCCAATTAAAGGTACGTATTAGTTAGTAGATAAAAAGGTGAAGTTACGACAGTGATAAACGCGATTTAACATTAAAGTATCGTAGTTAGTGTTCGTATTAGTAGTACCTATTGTAGTTAGTAGTAAAATTAGCAAGATATCTAGGTACCTAGATACTTATATCAAATGAAGGCTTAACTGATATAACATATCTATACTGACGTAGGTACCTCTATATGGGAAAAATACCAAAGCACAAAGCAAAAATACCAAAACGTTAGTTTTACTAACAAACGCATCAATGTATCATTTATAAATAGGTATATAAGATATTGACGCATTTATGTAAATATATATACCCTACCTACTTATTAAAAGTTATCAAAAATATTTTCCATTCTACACGTACCTAATTAATCCATAATTTGCAAGTTGTTCAAAACTTCTAAACTAGGTTCGTTGCAAAACAAAGTATGTAATAAGTTACAGTAAAAGTACAATAAATAAAAGTACCGCACAATGAAGAACATTCACTTAGATTTATATCACAATCAGTATAATTTCATCTTTATTAGTTTTATACAATTAACGTTTTAAAGCCGTCACTGCTTAGCTTTCAAAAGAATGATGAACACAAGATACGAACAGTTCGCTAAATTAAAGTAATATGGAACGAAATACAGAACCATGGAATTATATTTTACAAAAACTACTTTATTCCAGACAATTTCCAAACTACGGTGACATTTAATTTCAAACATATGAAAAATGATTTTTCAAAATGGCGCCACAGTTAACCAGTAATTTTTTAAATGGAACTTGACATTGTGAAAGGTTGTTTATAGTGTAAACTTTACAGAAATACTTTTAAGTGTAAGTGTCAGTGTAGTGTAGTGAAGAAAAAGATCAGCAAGCTGGAGGGCCAAAGTAAAGCTACTTTTGCGGCCCTCTTTGGGCTGAGGGCCGGCGGCGGCGTGGATTTATCCGCCGCTTACAGATATAACCAAAACATGATGGAATATTACACATGTAAGTGCTTATTTCCAACAGATATGTTTTTAATAGTTATTGTTTTGATTAAGTAGGATTTATAAAATTTTCGTTACGCTGTCACTAGGTAGACGGTAACCCATTCCACGACCTATTCCACCCCGTGCTTTTCGTGAATTTTATCGCCAGCTGGCTTGCCAAGCGTGGCAACTATGGAAAATATCCATCATATTAAACTATTTATGGGGGAGGCCTCCCCCATAAACTACCACTGAATTACCCATGCTATAATCAATTAGCAGATATAGCAATAAGAATATTTAACAAATTTTATTAATGACAAATCATACAATTTTGGCTTGCTTAAATTATAAAAGACTAAGACTGTTGATTTGTAATATCTACTTTTTATGCTAATTTTATGAATATTTATGACCTAATAAAGGATGACGTAAAAATATCATCATTTTGTGATACCTACACGACCGATTTTATTTTTTTTAAAAGATTTTCTGTGTTTGTAACATGTGAAAAGTATACTTAAAAATAATTATTCGCGTCATATATCAGATATTGGCAAACCTTCTACATCGTGCATTATCTTAAGATAAAAAGATCCTTTCCAGCGGGGTAAAACAAAAAACAACGACCCGCCATTATGCAAAAACAAGCGCTCCATCCATAACGAGATTATCATAGCCGGCGACAAACATAAAAACCGCGTACAATCATGCCGCTATAAAATACCTCGTAACATCACCGCACATCTGCGACGCAGTGATTTCATAAAACACCCAAAAATTCCCACCGAATTTAAGATCAACCAATAGGAGCGTCGGGAGTTCGAGATCGTTATGCAGAGGCGAATGGAAGCGGTCGAAACGTGTCGTAGGGCGATCGGAGGCCCGCCATTGGCTTGCCGTGGCGTGACTGGGCGGATAGCTCTGTTTATGTGTGTGTAGTTAGGTGCGTTCAAATTCGCGAGCATGCGTTGAGAGGCTGTATGGGTCTGTGTTGCTTCAACTGCGTGGACGAGCAAATTGAGACAAGTTTAAAATGGCGGAGTAGGGACGATTTTTAAAATTTTGAATATTGAAATCATTATAAGTAGAATACTTTAATCTCAAACACCAGAAGCTTAGTTATAAATTATAATAGATACTTATGTTTCAAATTTTAACTCATTGGAAATAAAAATAGCTTATAGGTAACATAATTTTCTTAAAATCTAAAACTTTCTGCGAAAATGGAAGTGGGTATTGTTTAGTAACTGTGGTATTGTTCTTTTTGGCCAATTATTGCCGAAACTCTATGAACAGATTCGTATGTAAAACAATAGGTTAATTACAGACATGCTAAGTAACTCGCCATCAAAAATTGTTGAGATTACAATACCTACCTACTATCTATTTATTCTAGTTTTTGCCTCTTCTATATAAAAAAAAAATAATCTTAATATTTAAGGACGCGTTTGCAAATCAACCAAAATTAGGGTGTTTTTCGGTAGATTTTGTGACAAAACTAAACCAATTCAAATATAAGTAAAAACTACCATGTATAGATTGGTTCTTCATCTGCAAATGTCTGTAACTCTTTTGTTGAAAATAGTAGTTTTTTATATTGTAAAAACGAACTTTCGTTGCCATTTTCTACAAAATTAACGATACCGGCTTGTGTTTCGGTAGATGTTTTGGTCTATTATCAACATATTTAAAAATTTAAAAAATACTATAAGATGACAGACATATTCAATTAAAAAAACCCTGTGTTTATTTTTTAACAAAATGTCACAAATAGTCGTAAAAAAAATAAAAACTGATGCACATTTTTTCACATATTTTGGTAATATGGATGAATCATAATGTATTGCAATAAGGGCTATTTTATTGTTGGTGCCTGCTTTGATTTATTGTACAAAGATTTCGATGAAACCACAGTCCGCGCTCGGCTGCCGTCGTGAGTGGACACTGTATCGCCTGTTTGCAGCGGCTCATTCTGAAAAGATCGCTGTACATACACAAAATATTAGAAAAAAACAAATTGGAAACATAAGTACTTGACAAGTGATAAAATTATTATTTTTATACTCACAGTTTTTATTTAGCTAAAAATAAGTAGGATATATAAACTTACCTACTACTGCAACTCGTGGACGAGCGGAACTAGGTGTGCCGAGTTTGGGCTCGTTTTGTTGGTTATGATGAGACCTTACCTCTGGACTTGATGGCATGACCTGAAGGTGTACTTTCGTGACCGCTATTTGAACTTCTTGCAGAGTAAAACTAGGGGTGACGAATTTGGGCTTCGTTTTGTTAGTTATGACGAGTCTATACCTCTGGACTTGATGGAGTGACCTGAAGGTCTAAATCGGTGATTGCAACTGGAACTCCTAGACTGGTAGAACTAGGTGTGCCGAGTTTGGGTTCGTTTTGTTAGTTACGATGAGACCTTACCACCGGACTTGATAGAGTGACCTGAAGGGGTAATTCAGTAACTACTGCTGGAATTTCTGAACGAGTAGAACTAGGTGTGCCGAATTTGGGCTTCGTTTTGTTAGTTATGACGAGTCCATACCTCCGGACTTGATGGAGTGACCTGAAGGTGTAGTTCAGTGATTACAAGTGGAACTCCTAGACTGGTAGAACTAGGTGTGCCGAGTTTGGGTTCGTTTTGTTAGTTACGATGAGACCTTACCACCGGACTTGATTGAGTGACCTGAAGGTGTAATCAGGTGGTTACAAATGGAATTCCTAGACTAGTAGAACTAGGTGTGACGAGTTTGGTTTCGTTTTGTTAGTTACGATAAGACCTTACCACCGGACTTGATGGAGTGAAATTCGGCACACCTAGTTCTACTGGTTCAGAAATTCCAGCAGTAGTTACTGAATTACCCCTTCAGGTCACTCCATCAAGTCTGGTGGTAAGGTCTCATCATAACTAACAAAACGAACCCAAACTCGGCACACCTAGTCCTACAAGTCTAGAAGTTCCACTTGTAATCACCGAACTATACCTCCAGGTCACTCCATCATGTCCGGTGGTAAGGTCTCATCATAACCTACAAAACGAACCCAAACTCGGCACACCTAGTTCCACCAGTCTAGGAGTTCCAGTTGCAATCACCGATTTACACCTTCAGGTCACTCCATCAAGTCCGGAGGTATGGACTCGTCATAACTAACAAAACGGAGCCCAAATTCGGCACATCTAGTTCTACTCGTTCAGAAATTCCAGCAGTAGTTACTGAATTACCCCTTCAGGTCGCTCCATCAAGTCTGGTGGTAAGGTCTCATCATAACTAACAAAACGAACCCAAACTCGGCACACCTAGTTCTACTAGTCTAGGAGTTCCACTTGTAATCACCGAATTACACCTTCAGGTCACTCCATCAAGTCCGGTGGTAAGGTCTCATCATAACCAACAAAACGAACCCAAACTCGGCACACCTAGTTCCACTAGTCTAGGAGTTCCTATTGTTGTAATCACCAAATTACACCTTCAGGTCACTCCATCAAGTCCGCAGGTAGGTAAGGTCTTATTA